ACCTGGGACTTAGCGGCCCTGAGTACACCCATACCGATCATGTAAAACTCCTCTGTCCCCCGCTTCTTGCCAGACAGATTCAAGTCCCCGATCAGGACATCGATCGCCTCGCAATCTACGACGCGCGCGGCGCATTCGAGGTCGCAAGTTAGCTGACACCGCCAGGAGGAAGCCGCCTCCGAAGGAATGCAATCTACCGACTGCGGAGAGAGGCCTGCTCCCAGCTCGCCCTCGAGATCGCCGAACATGGCGCGCAACGGCTGGATCTGATGATCGGGCCTCTCCCCCCAGCTCTGATACCAATTCAATCGACGGTTCTACACTTCGCTACCGCAGCCAAGAGTACCCCGATATAACATGACTTGAGCGTGGGAGAGAGACCTCGTCTTGTTTTTCCATCTGCACCGTCGCGCGACTAAGCATCGCGATTCGCGCCTCAGAAGACAGGCAACTGCCCAGCCGTCGACAGCCGGCCGCGCTGAGGACAAACGCGTCGAGGCCGGCGAGCAATGCGTTCTGCTCATTGCCGACGAGCAAGCACTTGCGCAGCTTCAAAGGAAATGGGCAGCGACCAGGTGCCGCCGACACGATAAAATGCAGCCCTCGCTGCACAACTCCTTCTGGTGACTTCATGATGGCTAGAAACTCGGACTCGGATGCGGGGGCCCAGGTACCGCGCGCTGCCCTTGATGTTGCCGTGCATCCCCTTGGATATTCTTTTCGACGAGCGAGTGAAGCGCGATTTCCCTGGGAGGCAAAATACGTCCAAAACTCCGACCCCCCGGAATCCTGGGCGCACACCAAAGCCGACATCACGGAGTCAAAAAACCCGCCCATCTCCTTAACCATCCCAAAGAGGCCCCCCGGGGTCATATAATCCGAAGCCACGACGTTTTTCTCAACATCACCAGCGTACTTCAACAGGCGCAGGTCACTCTGAAAAACCATGCCACCTCGAAACCCAACAAAAAAGGAAATAAGGTCAACTCGGCCCCACTGGTAGGCACATTGCGAAGTAGCCCGAAAGAACGCACCTGAAAACGCGGCCACTGCAGCGGGGTCTCCCACGACGCGCCCTGAAACAGTTTGACCAGGAGTGCCCCCCCTTCCGCAGTTAGTTCCACCATGCTACTCGCGTAGCACTGCAGGCACAAAGCAAGGTTCGCCACCGAGGTGGCGCGGGCGACCGCGACCTCAAAGCCAAACCAGTCAGGACTTCCAATAGCGTCGGTGAAGCCTGTGAGACCCATCGCAAAAGAACGTCGCAGACGGCCCATGCGCCAGCAAGTCACCTGAGCATAAAAAATAGCTGCCTCTCGCCTTCGATGCGCGATAAAGCCATAATCCTGTTGTGACGGCACCGCGTCCAGCAACTTAGAATGGAAAGCTTACCCCAGGACTGGCAACGAATGTACTACTCGTTTTCCTCCGAGCCCACGCTGCGCACTTTTGGAAGGGGCCCCGCGCCCTGGCCCCGACGCCAGCATGGCGGGGTCTTCTGGGGGTGTCTGATCTTTGCAAGGCCCGCCGAGATGATCCACCAGAACCCAGGAACTTCCGGCATATACGCATCGTAACCCACTCCCCCAGTAAGCTGGGGCGCCCTCCAAGTAGGATGGAGTAGCTGATGCCATAGTTCAAGTGGCGCACTACCTTCTGGAACCGCTCTGCGTTTGGGCGCCCTCTTGACATGCGACGTAATCCGCTGCAAATCCGGTTTAGCAAGCTCCCAGCCCCTCCTCAAGCCCCACTCGAAGACCTCCCCCTCTCTCTCTCTCTCTCTCCGCTCTCCGCCCGCCAAGCCTCCCAGTTAGCTTCCCCCGCGACCGCGCCTCCTTCACCCCCGGGAGCTGGCCAGACTCGGAGCCGCCCCCCCCCCCCCCCCGACTGGGGGGGGCCCCTGCTCCAGGCGCCCGCCTCTGTTCTTCGGGCCCATTCTGCAACGAGCCGCGCGCCCGGATAGACGCAGCGCCCCCGAGGTAAACCCCCGGTGCCACTGCTCAGTAGCTTCGTCCACAAGCTGGGAGCGGATAGCTCCGGCAGCACGACGTCGCTCGGCAGCGAGAGCGGAGGGAAGCAGGCGCAGCTCAGCATCCACCTCCTCTGCAGATGTCCCACCCATGCCCATCTTAGATCCACGAGAAAGAACTCGCTCCGCAAGAAGGTGTCGCCGACGCTCCGCTTTCTCCTTCTACGTGGAACATGTGCGACTGGAGTCAGAGAAAACTCGCTGCCCTGCGGCGGTAACAGCGCCCCCCAGTCGTTCACATAGCGCATCAGGGGGCACCTGATCTCTCAGAAAAAGCAGAAGGTCCTTTGTCACTATTCCCCTCGGCTGCCATCAATACTCAGCACGACATGCGCCTTCTCGTGGCGAGGCCATCATTAGGTCATGATTTTGTCGAACTCCCTGAACTGGCAAGCCAGACTTATCATACGTCGTCACCGTGCACATCGCTGGCAAGTGGTCGCGAGGGGCCTGTCCCCGAATAGCTTGGAGCTTGGCCCCCAGCCCACGCAGCGCCAATTCTGCTCGAGGCTCCGTCTGAACCAGAAAAAGTGTGTATAATCTGTCCAACCGCACTGCCTGCCACCGTGAAATGAGACCCCAGACATTCACGAAGAAATTGCCCAGCCCCTCGTGGGAGTTGTTCTTGCGTCGGGGTGTTACTGATCACCGAAGAGCCTACGTCCTCCCATCCATGTGACCCGCGAGACTGACAAATTCCATCGTTGAGGTAACAGTATAGTAGCGGTGTGCACCGATGCGGCAGCACGCTCAACACCTGCGAGATCCAGTCCACTGATATCCGAACCGTCGCCAAGTACTGCGGCATATGTTCGATACTTCGGACGTGAAAGGGTGGACCACCAGTGGGCATATATCTATTGGCCCGCACTTCGCTCTAGCCGCTGGTGCTCTCCCCCTCGCCGCCGCTGGACTCGCCCATGTACGAACGATGTGATGTTCCTTGATATGGCTTCGGACGCCGATGGCGCACCAGCAACTATGGCTACTATACGGCGATGTATAATACGGAGACCCCAAAATAAGACCACCCGCGCACCTCTGTCTCAGGGGTCTCAACCCATGCTGCGGATGATCGACATTCTTTGTTTCCGTAAGAACCACTGCATCGAAGTTGTGATTTTCGTTCATACTTTCATGCAGTCTGTCTCCGCTCGCCCATAGCGGATTGAAGCCGAGAAGGCGGAGGGGAAACATCCTGGCGGCATCCCCCCCCGACTCGGGTTTCGCCTGGCCTCTCGAGTGGTGTCCTCCACCAATGTCATCATCTGGCGGGCGCGGTAAGCGGCGCGCTGCGCGCAAACGGCTCGGACCGCTTGGAGGAGGAGGACGAGGAGGAGGAGGAGGAGGAGCTGGAGGAGGAGGAGAAGGAGGAGGAGAGAGGAAGAACGAGGAGGAAGGCCCTGAGATCTAGGCTTGGCCCTATTTCCACAACGGGCGTTTTCGCCCAGCCTCGGGTCCTGGGGCCCTCCGCACAAATCGCTGCGCCTCGAGGGTATGGCGCAAAGTAGCGGGGCCTCGGTGCTCTGGTCGTGACGTCCCTCTTGCGATGCTGCGCTCTTCTCATGACGTCGGGTCTCAGAGCGGGAGAAGAAGAGGAGGGAGGGTAGAGGAGGAGGAGAAGGAGGAGGAGGAGGAGGAGGAGGAGGAGGGAGGAGGCGGAGGAGGAGGAGGACGAGGAGGAAGAGAAGGAAGGGAGGGCAAAGGAGGACGAATAACTACAATATGGCAGGGGAGGAGGAGGAGGAGGAGGAAACGGAGGGATGGGCATCTCAGCCGGGAGGGCGGCCGAGGACGGAAGGGTGAAGGCAAACCGCGCCACGGGGGGGGGAAACGAGGGAGGGAGGGCATCCTCCTCCTCCCCTTCTTCCTCCTGGCGCTCCCCGTGCTGATGTTCCTCCTCCTCCCCCCCCTCTCCTCCTCCCCCCCCCCTTCTCCTCCCCGTCCTTCCACTCCGTTCCCCCATCCTCCCCCGCCTTCCCCCGCCTCCCCTTCCTCCCCCATCTTCTTTTGTTCCTCTTCCTCCTCCTCCTCCTCCTCCTCCTCCTCCTCCTCCTCCTCCAATTCCTCCTCCTCCTCCCCAATCCCACTCCGAAGCCAGGGGTAATGAAATGGCTTCGCTCCAGAGTTCATCCGTAGCGCGGCCGGCATTGGAAACCGCCCCACGCGTAGAATCCCACCAGCCCTTTGGGCGTGAGTGGTTTAGAGAGCCCGCTCTGTTCTCAACCCCCTTCTTCCCCTTCGGGGAGGGGTTTACCCCTCCCCCTACCCCCTCCCCCTGGGCCTGGAGAGGGCGCCCCGCGGGTGGTTGGAGGGGTCTTTTTCGACTCCTGGAAGGGCTAAAATTCGACACCCCTCACGAGGATCGCGGCCCCGACGGGGGGAGGCAGAAAAATGCTCCCCTCTTCTTTTGGCCCCATTTTGGCCTTCTGAGGGGGCAGCGCTAATTAAAGCTCCCATTTTCTATCAAGCCAAAATCATTGATTCACTACGGTTTTGGCCCCATTTTGGCCTTCTGAGGGGGCAGCGCTAATTAAAGCCCCCCTCTTCTTGGATCGATTTCCTCCAAGATGGCCCAAAGAAGCGCCCACGAGGCACCAAGAGGCCCCAAGATGGCCCCAAGAGGCCCCCCAGGAGGCCCCCAAGAGGATCCCAAACGGCCCAAAGAGGCCCCCCCGAGGCACCCAAGACGCCGAAAAGCCCATCAGGACGACCCTCTACTCGCCTGGGCGTCGTTTCTGGACGGGCTGGTGGGGATACGCGAAGCGTGATGAATTAATTTGAAAAGAGCACCAGTTTGATTAGGGGTGTCGGCACTCGTGCGGATTCACTTCAAAGTGCACATTCAATAGAAACTGGGACTCGAGTCCACCCAACGAACATGTTCACTTCGTAATGTCTTCATAGCACTTGATGTCTTCGGTTTCTGGAGGAAGGCGTCAGGGAGAGGAGGAAAGACTCTGTGGAGCACCTTCATGAAAATGACGCAGCAAATGTACTGGATGCAGCGGACGGTCGCGACCTCCTTACTGTCGATGGTGGGGCCTCGCGGGCGAAAGGCATATCTGCATCCATCCATAGAAGAAGAGGAAACACCATGAACATAAACTGTTGGCGCTCCGCGCGGGTTTCTTGCAAATGCGCTGGACACGCCTCCCTGGCGCGCGGAGCGCGCGAGGGGCGGCGCTGGAGGCGCCGCCGGGGGGGCCCAAGAGCGAATCCAAGAAACCCGCGCGGAGCGCCAAGAGTTTATGCTCAAGTCGTTGTCATGTCTTCTTCGATTACATGCCAACGCAGCTTAGATGATCCTGGCGCGACCCAACGGATAGGCGATGCCAGGGACACCTTCCTCACAAGGCATCACCGCACGCTCTGTGGGGCCACGCAACCCAGTCCTTGAGCTCGCGAGGCAGGGCACGGGCATTTCCTCCTCCTCCTCCTCCTCCTCCTCCTCACCTCCCTCCTCCCTCCTCCCTCCTCCCTCTCCCTCCTCCCTCCGCCCCGCCCTCGCCCTCCGCCTCCGCCCTCCGCCCCCGCCCTCCTCCCGTCCTCCTCTTTCCACTCCTCCTCCTCTCCTCCTCCTCCTCCTCCTCCTCCTCTTCCCTCTCCCCCTCCCTCTCCCTCCTTCCTCCTCCCTCCCCTCCTCCCTCCTCCCTCTTCCCTTCTCCCTCCTCCCCTCCTCCTCCCTCCTCCCGCCTTTCGCCTTCGCCTTTCGCCTCCGCCTCCCTCCCCTCCCCCTCCCCCATCCCCCTCCCCTCCCCCTCCCTCCCCGCCCCTCGCCCGCCCTCGCCCTCACCCTTGCCCTCCCCCTTTTTTCCTCCTCCTCCTCCTCATCCTCCTCCTCCTCCTCCTCCTCCTCCTCCCCTCCCTCCTCCTCATCTCCATCCTCCCCTCCTCCTTCCTCCTCCTCTCCTCTCCTCCTTCCCCTCCTCCTCCTCCTCGCCTCCTTCCTCCTCCTCCTCCTCCTCCTCCTCTCTCCTCCTCCTCCTCCTCCTCTCCTCCTCCTCCTCCTCCTCCTCCTCCTCCTCCTCCTCCTCCTCCCTCCTCCTCCTCCTATCCTCCTCCTCCTCCT